GACCTCCAAGCGTGCGCTTTCGGGGGACTCAGGCCCAAGTGGACCCGACTAGTCGGGAACATGGAGCAGCTGCAACTCCTAGCCAGGACTTGCCCGGGTTGCGTGGCTCATGCCCCTTGGGGGCGCAAACCCGATGGAAGCTGGGCTACTGCAGAAGAAGCTGCGTATCCAGTTGGTCTCTGCACAGAGTGGGCGGCTATGCTTCATGATGTTCTAAATTCTCGAGGTGTCTGCTGCGTGTCACACTCAGCTGTTAACAAAGGCGTTCGTGAGAACGCCAACGTGCAAGCTAGGGGGACGCCTGTGTTTCCCCTGGTGGATGAGTGGAAGTGCATCGTGTACATCGTAGGCCCGAGCCCCGAACTTTCCGCGCTCAAGCGCGGGAAACGCTTGCTGGAAGATTGGAGCGTGCCGGATGGCACCATGGCTTTACCAGCTGTACCTCGGCTCCCCCGAGGTTCGCAGATCCTGTCGCGGTCTCAGAAAGGGGGTAGACTCAGCCCGCAATTATCTGCGATCTTGAACAAGCATCCCGAACATGAAGTATTCAGGGTCGGTATCCCCTGGACCCACATTGAGTTCATACGGGAAGCTGCAAGGAAAGGCCACCCGTGCCACAAGCTCTCTTCTACGAATCCCTCATTGCAGGTGACTTTGGAATTGCTGGGAACGTTGGCTGTCAAAATGGGAAGCCCGGGTCAAAGAGCTTGCTGACGACGAGGCCAGCCTTAAAGCTGACATGAACGAGGAGAGGAGGAAAGTTCTTGCCCCAAAGAACCTCTTGGTCTTTAGAGAGATGCTGGAGGAGTTGGGCTATGATGACGTTGCTGTGGTTGACGAGATGATTCAGGGTGGATCATTGGTGGGCCCAGTCCCAGTAACCGATGTCCTCGATGCTAAACTGAAACCGGCAAGGATCTCGGTAAGCACTTTGGACGAATTGAGGGAACAATGCAATGCGTCGGTTTTTGCTAGGACCATTTCGTGTGGCGATGAGGATCTCGACCTCGAGCTGTGGAAGAAGACTATGGAGGAGGTAGAGAAGGGCCACCTGGTCGGCCCTCTGGAGCCGAAGGACCTTCCTCAAGGTTGCTTCGTTAACAACAGGTTCCCCATTCGACAAGCGGATAAGGTCCGTCCCATTGACAACTACTCGAGCAGCCTCATCAACGACACAGTCACAGTGTCCGAGAAACCTGTGGTCCATTCGGTAGATGAGATCGCGGCGATGGCATATCGAATGGGAGTCCTTGCAGAGAAACGTAAGTTCAAGAAGATCTTTGGGAAAACTGCTGATTTGAAAGGAGCTTACAGACAGCTTGCATTGGCTGAGGAAAGCCTCAGGTACTCGTACGTGGCAGTTTACTGTCCGGTCGAAAAGAGAGCGAAAGTCTTCCATCAAGTCGCGGTGCCTTTCGGGAGCACCAAGGCTGTGTACTATTTCTGGAGAGTAGCAAGGGCGCTTTGGACGTTGATCGTCCGGGGGATTACTGTGGCCTCTACGAACTTTTTCGACGACTTTGTTTTGCTTGCCCTTGAAAGGGATTGTGCCTCCTCGTGGGAATCGTTTAATCGCCTGATGAAGGTCTTGGGCTGGAAGCTCTCGGATGACAAGGCGACCGATTGGGCACAGAAATTCGAAGCCCTCGGGGTCGCCTTTGATTTAGAGCGTGCCACTTCTGGTTTCATCAAGGTTGACAACACCGAGAGGAGGAGAGAAGAGCTAGTCAAACAGCTCGTTGATACCACGGAAAGAGGAACTCTCACGCAGAAAGAGGCACTGCAGCTGAGAGGTCGTTTACATTTTGCTGAATCTCAGTCCTTTGGACGACTGGGAAGGCATTGTCTTAAGCTGATAACATCCCATGCTTTCTCTGGTGCGATCGGAGTTCAAGAGAGACTGAGGATTGCCCTCTTGGATTTCGCAAACCTGCTGCGGGCAGAGAAGCCCAGAGTAGTGGGTAGGATCTCGTGCAGGTCGTTCATGATCCTGACAGACGCATGCTTCGATCCAGGGGCTGAAACGAAAGGAGGACTTGGCGGAGTGCTCTTGACAGGCACCGGGTCTGCGATATCGTTCTTCTCTGTGCCGGTCTCGGATAAGGATTGCAGCCTTCTAGCGAAGAAGGATGAAGCGACAGTGATTTATGAGTTGGAGATGTTGGCCGTTTTGATCGGCTTCCTTGTTTTCAAGGAGTTTCTAATGGTTAATATCGGGTCGGACAGAGAAACTGTCGCTGGGATCGGTGTGGTCTCTTACATTGACAATGATGCTGCGAGATACGCGCTTGTCGCAGGAACTGCGAAGAAAGACGTGGCGGGAGCCATTGTCAGGGATCTGACGGTAGTTGAAACAGAGCATGGGCTCGTGCCATGGTTCGGTCGAGTTGGGACCGAATCCAACATCGCAGATGAACCGTCAAGGTTTGCTACTGAACGAGTCAAGGAGCTGGGGTTCGCTGATAAGTCAGGGCTGGCGGTCGAAGTGACTGGCCACTTCTTCTTCAGGCTCGAAGGATCGTTGGCGAACGAAAAGGAGGGGTAGCGAGTTTGCCAACGCTCCCTTCTAGAGGACAAGAGATCCGCTCGAATGTTTTCGGGCCTGGCCGACATTGGAACACCGATGTGGGGTGCAGCCCCTTCGGAAAGAGATATCTGGAGATTGATTCCCCAGCGTTTGAAAAAGAGAGGCGTGAAGAGCGTTCATGTTGTTCCGACGGAATCTGGATTTCGTATTGAGTTTCCGAGAATTTTGTATACTTATACATTCTGTTCATTTGGGCTCAAGCACGGTCCTCGAACAATAAGCTGCGTTCTTCGAGTGCCCGCAGAAGATAGGGCTTTATTGTGAGAGGAAAAATTGTGGTGCAATTTTGGTAGCTTGAGCTGACAGTTGTCTTTTGTGGTTCCGTTTTGATGGAACTGAAGTGCATGGTTGTTCATTGATGAAATCTTTCTTCGTCGCAAGGTGATCGGCTCGAAAAGCCGAGTGAAAGAGAAGAAAATTTTTGACCCACCCTCCCACCCTACTAAGGGACTCACGTATCATGGTAATTCCGTGTGACAGGTGATACCTGCCAGAGACTCAAGGAAAGCCACTGTGAGGTGGTCGTGCAACGTGAAAAAGGCATTTGCGGTCTCGTGCTTACTAGAAGCTTTGATTTGTTTCGTTGAGTGCCTGCTTTCCAGTACAAGGCATTTCAGCAGTGAACCAGTTTCTGTGAGTGCCTGTTCTGAGGGCTGCAGTTGCTTGATTGCAGTTGCGCCTTCGTTGAATGCATACAGGCTCGGATATCAAGTATCGAACAATTGTCCTTTCAGCACCCTCCATGCAGCGTTCTGTGACACGAGCTCAGCTGGAGGATTTTCGTTTGTGGCTTCAGTCCTTGAATATGGATTCCCTGGTCAAGGTGGCTGAGGTATTGGACGATCTCATGGCGGATCGTGAATTGCAACAAAGAGAGGCTGTTGCAACTCGCGCCTTACAGTGGCAATTTGTGAACCCAGAACCTGTGCCCGAGCAGCCAAGCGAAGCTGCTTCGTCAAGCTCTCAGCATCAACCAAGGAGTTCTTGAATTGCTTTTGGAAGCTGATCTTCGCTCTGTTTCAGGCCGCTATACTTAGGTTGGACCTGTGAGGGGGTAGCGAGTTTGCCAACGCTCCCTTCTAGAGGACAAGAGATCCGCTCGAATGTTTTCGGGCCTGGCCGACATTGGAACACCGATGTGGGGTGCAGCCCCTTCGGAAAGAGATATCTGGAGATTGATTCCCCAGCGTTTGAAAAAGAGAGGCGTGAAGAGCGTTCATGTTGCTCCGACGGAATCTGGATTTCGTATTGAGTTTCCGAGAATTTTGTATACTTATACATTCTGTTCATTTGGGCTCAAGCACGGTCCTCGAACAATAAGTTGCCACGCTTTTAAAAGTGTTTTGCATGTGTGTGGAGCTGTGCAAGCACCTTGAGTGGCACTTGAGTTGTGTGAGCTGTCTGCGACTATGTGGCTTCGTTTTGAGAAAATATTTAAAGCCGAGAGTTTGACCTAGAAAGCCCCACATGCAAACGCATGTTGTTTGGCTCAAAACCGGAGTCTCGTGTGAGTGAGAAAGCTGAAAGTGTTGGAGTGCCTGAATCCAGCTTACTTTGCACGCTGTCCGAACAGGGCAGCAGCTTGTCACCACACCGAAACTTGGACACCAGGGCTGAGGGTTGAGGATGTAGGGTAAATTTAACGGTTTAGGGTTGAAGGATTGAAAAGTTGAAGGGTTGAAGGGTTTCTGTTTTTGTTTCGTGTTCGTTTTCGAGAAGTCAAGAAGGAGAGAAAGTCTTCATTCCTCCCCTCGGTTGACGGAGCCTGACAGCGATCTTCCTTTGTTTTGCCTGGTTGGACAACTGCAATCTCCTTTTCTGTAATTCTCATGTTGTCCTACACGGGTTAAATGTTTTCGTCGCGGAGGTTCCAGAGTTCAGGGGATTGCTCTCTTGGGCAAGCTCATTGGCATGTTGTCCTGAAGTTTTGTTTTTTTGTTCTGGCGGAGGATTTCCAGGGGCTCAATGGCCATGTGTTGTGACTTGAGGATTCCAGGGCCTTTCAGGGACTTTGAGGGCCTTTTCTGCCATCTTGTGCTTTTTGGAAGTCCCATTGGTGCGAGACACTTGCGAGCAATTCGATTTTTTTTCACTTTAACTGGACCCAAGTTTGTGTCCACGAAACGTCCTCCCAAATGGGTTTTCCCTTGTGCACACTGACCGGGCCCAAGTCTTCAGGCTTGGGCGGAAGTGCGCTCGTCCATGCAAAGAGGCAACAACGTTTTGGATGTGCAGTCGGACCTTAAGCTCTACATCCTGAATCCTAAGCGCAGTGGAGTCGAAGGGAAGACCCTCAGCTGCCATGCTCAAGCGGAGGCTGGAGCGAACCTGCCCCCTGCAATTTGTGGAGCACCTGCCTATCTTGTAGCAAGGGTTTTCAAGTGGTGTCCTTGTTGTCGCAAGGATCTGAGCCATGGAAGGCGAATACGAAACTCGCAGCCTTGTTGCGTCGGATGCTTGAATTGCTGAGTTGAGGGTTTGCGGTTTAGGAAAAAGGATTTAGGATTTAGGTTTACAATGTAGTGTTGATGATTTTTAGGATTTGGAGTGTAGGAGGGTTTAGGATGTGGGGTTGAAGATTTAGGGTTGGTTGAGTAGTAGAATTCCCAAAAATGGAGGATCAGCAGCATAGAGAATGGGGAATGAAATTTAATTTTCATGTTTAGGGTCTAGGGCAGTCGAGAATCACGTGCAAAAGAGTCGAGAAAATGGTTTATATAGAGGTTGCATGGTGATATACGAGTTTCATATTCTAGGGTTGAGTATGCAGGCGGTATTTGGGACCTAAAGCGGCGATATTGGTGTACCTAGTTGTATGACCAGTCCCCTAGACCCTAAGCCCTGGATCTTCAAGCCTAAAACCCTAAGACTCTAAACCCTAAGCCCTAGACCCCCAATCCTAAATCCTAAACATTGGAGCCAAACAAGGAGTGTGGAGCAAGCCGTCGAGCTTCACGAGTGGAAGAAGATAAATACACAGAAAGCAAGGTCGATGAATACCTTGGTGGCAAGGAGTTACTGTCCCTTGTGGATATTGACAACAAATGGCAAGGGGTGGCTCTGTCTTCGTTGTGCGCCGTTTGCTGTGCGCTCCCCTTCGTTGGGTGTGTGTTCGCACTGGTTTGGCTGTGGAAGTACGGGGTCCGGCAGGACTTCCGCCGTGAAAACTGCTTCGGTGCGGTGAGTGAAGTCTTGTTGTGGCTGATGGTCTTGGTCATGCAGTATGAGAGCACAAAGACTTGCCTATTGTCATATTTTCTGGTAGACCAAGGTCAGCTACCCCTTGCGGCACAAGTGTTTCAGGCCTCGCTAGTCGTACAAGCATGTTGGATCGGTTCGCTCTTCTGGCGTATCTTGGTTGTCGAAGCACTTGATACCGGCGCCCACGTGTCCAAGCATAAGCTGAAAGCTCGAAAAGAGTTTCGCATTGAGAGTTCCCCGTTGACGCGGAAGCCGAAGAAGGTTGCCACTCATCGTGCCTCAGACTTCTTGAACGTTCTGGGGGTAGAATCGCAGTTCGAGGCAACTCCCGCTCTGTTTGAGTCCAAGTTGCGTAAAGTGCACATTCCGTGGTGGCACTATCTGGTGATCGCGGCCTCAAGCGTGGCAGCGGCCCTGATGCCACTCTTTGCCGTTAACTGCAGGCAGGTCATGTTCAAAGGCTTGTGTAAAGAGGACGTTTTACAGGATGCCATCAAGAATGCCTGTGGCAGATGGAGTGAGATTCCCAAAGTGTCCCTGCTGGGATGGTTCGAGCTACCTTCAGAGGATCTGCTGTGGAATGTCTTTGTTGGTGTGGTTTGTGGAGTGCAGTGGTACAAGTTCATCTCCGGCATACTTCGAACCACACAGAGCTTTCGGCAGAATGCCGGCCGGCTGCTTGCCTTCCTTGCCAAGACAGAGCAAGCAAACGTGGACTCCTGGAGCGCAAGAGAAAAGAGGCGACTGAGGAGCCTCACCCTTGCACTCAAGAGTCATGAGCCGGGAGCCGCAGGTATCGCGGATGTGGAGAATGTAGAGAATGTAGAGTATGTGCGGCAATTCCTGGGTGAGGTTGGCACATTAGACCTTACCAAGTTGGAGGACGTCCATACCTGGTGGAGAGTTCGAAGGTTCTTGCAGCTCGACTTCGTGGATGAATCGGCCGGCATGGATGTTGCTGCAACCACTACAGCGCTTCTGCTCTTCTCCGTCACGATCGCAGGACTGCTGGACTGGTTCGTACACGACACGCAGTTCACTGCCGGGCTGGCCGGGACGATCATTCTGACAGTTGCGCTGACCATCACCATGTTCAACATTCTGGATGCATGTATAGCAATCAACCAGATGTTGGAGCGCGACGCACTGATCCTGACCGACGCCAGAATCGATGCCTTGCTAAGTAGCCTGGCAGGCAACTATGTTTTACTGCACCTGAGCAGGAAAGCGTGACTACGGTTTTGTGATTGATTTTCTGGGCTGCTGTCGAGGAGATTCAGTCGCAGAATCCTAGAATACATGAAAAACCATGATTGCCGAGACATGATGTGTTCTTCGCAGTTGTCCCAGCTTCTTCGATATGAACGTACAAACCCTCGTGAACCTTAAAACTTGGATGCTTACAATTATTTTTGTTGCTGTACCCCTCTACAAGGCTCTCAATATGTGACTGTGTTGGGGTGAGGCAGCATCTACTGTTGAACCCCTTTAGCCCCTCAATTAATAGTACATTCACCCAACATAGCACACAATGTTTTTAAGTATCAATTACCGGGGTAGGTTGGATATCAATTACCGGGGTAGGTTGGGATGTTCTCCTTTATCCTTCACAGGGTTTCTAGTACCCCCCCCCTAATCCCTATGAAGGGCTGCTGCTAGCATGAGGGGGAACATCCCAAGCAATAGGAACCCTAAACCCGAAACCCTCAACCCTAAACCCAAACCCTGTTTCGTCCGATTCACCCAAGTCCGAGGCGAGTCGAAGGAGCAATCGAAGGTGAACTCCTTGCTCGAAGCCTTGCAACGAAAAGTTGAGGCGTCTCGGACGCGGTTTAGGGTTTAGGGTTAAGGTTTTAGGGTTGAGGGTTGAGGGTTTAGGGTATAGGGTTCAGGGTTCAGGGTTTAGAGCTGAGGGTCTCCTTGGAATTCCGCGTGGCAAATTGGTATCAGCAATGCTTGTACGAGGGGATTCTTGAATACCTGTACACCGTAAGAGGACAGTTTTTTCATGGGTTCAGGGCTTGTCAGTCATGGCAAAATTTCTAAGAAAGGTGAGCAAGAGGTCTACGTGCCTTTTCCATGGCCCCCCCTCATGGCTCAAAGCTCCCATATGCCAGCTCGGGACAACATTGCCGGTGCACGGTTAGCCTCTCAAGCTGCCAGGCCTTTGATGAGCAACAGCAGCATCTGTTCGGCATCACGATCACTGCCAACCTGCGGAATAGCTGGGTGGCGACGCTCTGTGCAACAGGCTTCTTGGACATGATTATCCACCGAATTCATGTCTGCAACCGTGCTAACATAAAAGGATAGCTATTTCGATTCCATGGCTTTAAGGTTCATTCGTGTCCCTCTAAGCATGCCCAATTTTTTTTCGTAAGGGAAAGGGGCATCCCAGGTTTTTTAGGGTCTTGCCGTTCTGTCTCCTCCAGGTCTGACCACGGCGTGGCAGATGTTCCGTCCAGAGGTGAAGGACATTGCCATCGACGCAATCCAGGACACGGGATCAATGTTGACACTCGTTGCACTGTTGTTGTTGTATGTTGGGTAATTACTATAGTCTTCCTAGCCGTACAAAATCCTACACCCGTGCACTGTGCACCCCACACTCCAGACCCTACACCCAAACTCTAGACCCGGACTCTATATCCATAGACCCGGAGTCCATTCAACTCCCCCCAACCCATAGAAACTTTAAGTTGATGCTAGTAAGAACATTCGTATGACCCATAGTCTAAGCTCCTAGTATCCGGTTAATAACCCTCTGCATCTTCCTCCTTCTACAGCCGCGCTCCAATTTCTGGAGTTTTGACAACAAGACCAAAACTCTCGACCGTATAGACACTAAACCATGTCATGCAGGACAGCTTGGGGCAGCTTCCCGTTCCAGATTGGTTGGAGACCTTCGCCGTGCAAAAGCTCTTCTGAGGCGGTAGATTCCGGGCACCCTTTAGGGTTTAGGGTTTAGGGTTTAGGGTTGTACCATAATTATGTGCTGGCTTCCACAATGTGGTGGACCCAATATGGACCCCCAAGATATTATGACGCTCGTCATGAGGGACCCCCCCAATAAGGCACCCAGGCACCCCCAAACTCGGAGGAACCCCATATAAGTAATTTGGGTCCGCCAGATTGATAATCATTTAGGCTTCCACGTAAGACAGACTCCCTAGGAGCCTGCTTGGTTTTCTTATCTACCTCATTGAGCCAGTCTCTGGTATTTGGTAGTCTCTTTGACAAGCAGGGGGTTGTACATGGATCAGTATTTTGGTATAGTTGTAAGGGCTGTTGTAAGGGCTATTGTAGGTCATAGAAGCAGTGCGTAACGAGACCAGCCAGACCTAGCGGTTCTTTGCACGATCGGAAGGGATGGGGGAATGGATCCCTGCAATAGCACGTCGGATAGTTTCCACTGTCTTGTCCATTCCCCCTTTCCTACTAGGGCAGAAGCCAGAAAGTTGGAACATCAGTTCATGCCCATAAGGAAAAGTATAGGGAACCCCAGCACGAATCATCCAAACTCTATGTTCCAAGTTTCTGCGGTTCACTCTAACATCGATCTCGTCAGTCAGGGCTGTGCCCCTGCCCACTCCGTTTTCCCAAAGCGGTCAACCGGGCTTGTACATCACTCGTGCACCGGAACTTGCCTGTTCCTCATGAATAGTACTTTCTTTAGGGGTTGCCATACTTACTTCCCGATCTGGGGTAGGATTCCCTTTACCTTGTGATTGTAATATGTGATGAGAGAGAATGTAGCCTGACTTGTTTCAGCCACCAAAGGACGCTACTCACTTGTGGAGTGGCCCTCCAAAGTCAGGGGACCAAGCCTCAAGGGCTTCAGTGCTGCGAGACATGAAATGAAATGAAGGGTATCTATACGCGTCTGCCCGAAACAGCAGCATCAGCTCATGAAGCATCGAGTGGCTGGGTGTAGGGTAAGGTTCGCCAGTAGAGGAAAGTTGGGAGGCCCTGGAGAGTCGTATGTAGGAGAGTATGTTAAGCAGTTGGGTGTGGACGGCTTGTTTCTTGTGCCGACTATCTTCCCTTCCCAAGATCAGGGAAAGGCAAAGGGAAAACTCAAGCGGACAGCACAGGATGTGTCAGACTTGGTGAACATGTTCTCGGCCTCTTCAAGAGGAAGACATCCGATCCTGAGGCACAGTGCGCCTTGTCTACCTGCAGCCCTCGTGTCCCAGGCTCACTGATGCGTAGCTGGCATGACTTGACGAAAACCTGCTGCGCTCTCCCCCTTTCAAAACAGATGTGCTTGTCAGAGTTGTCGGCATCTACCGTTTCGGCTTCCGACCTTGGGCCAAGCTTCAGCCTGGGACCATCAGGCTACCATCAAACACTTTGTAGGAGCTTGAAGACCAGCAAAAGGGTAAGGCCTCAATCTGCCAGGGATGATCACCACATCTATGGGCTTGTCTCCTACAAATTTGCGATTGCTTTGTCCTATCTCGCAAGTCTTCTCGAGCTTTTTTGCGTCCAGCTCGCTAAGCTAGTGGCAAATACAAGGGAATTTGTGACAAGAAATTTCTCAAGGGGAACAAGTGTCTCCCGAAGGATACAAGAATGGTCACAGCTTCCATCCGTGCCTGGAAGATAGCGGGCCGGTCGTTGAGACATGCTGCTGGCAACCTCCGTGGCTGCGCGACCACACAGAGTCCCGGTCGCTCGGGTGATAACATCCATGGATCTGAGGTGTCAAAGTATCATCAGGGTTTAGGGCTCAGGGTTTCGGGCTTAGGGCTGAGGGTATCTTGCACTTTCGGGGTTTCACAACCTCATTCTCGAGCATCTAATATGGCCTTCGTGCGACTCGCGTGCGTTTTTGCGCTGCTTCTGCACCTGGTCTAGGTGGCTTCTTCCATGCGGTCTCTTGCTTCAGGGAACGTTGGACTTCCAGATGCCACTACTTCGTTCACGTTGGCCACTTCGCCGCAAAGACCGGAAGCCACCAAGGAACTGTGTTTGATTGCGCATGCAGAATCAATTCAGGACACGCTCCTAGCGAAGTGTGCCGTTGTGTATTCCACATGTTGACATGTTTGCGCATGAAGCCACCCACCTCTGAAGCGAGGCAATTGCATCGTGTTGCTTGCCATCAATCAGGCGCTGGCTTTTGCGCAGGTGTTGAGTAGTTGCTGCCAGAGTGCATCTGTCGCGCCAGAAAGACATGCTGCACTTGCGGACCCTCTCGGTGACCGCCTCCTGCTGTGGCATCGCTTACAATCTGCTGCAACCGACACCTCTATGGGCGCCAGCTGCGTGGGGCGCTTTCTTCATTTCTTGTCATCTGAACCCTGCCTGCATAATATTCAAGAATAATATACAATCTGGTATGAATATTTAAGAAAATACCAGCTGGTATGAATGTAGCCCTGGAAGTTGGCTCACAGGTTGGCTGTGTTCACAATGCCCCCAGCCCTTTCTGCCAGTTGCCCCAAGGTATTATATCACTCACTTACTTCGTGATCGGGTGGGCATTACCATGGATCCAGATCATGAGGCCTGCAGTTGTCGATTTCAAAACTCGGCTCGAGCAGTTCGTTCCCGCGCATGGCAGCGAGATCTTTGTTTTCCTTGAACCTCCCAAAAGGAAGACTCTTTCTCGTGCTGTCTAGACTCTGCGGGAGATGAGAGCGCATTCTGAAGATGAGAGTTGCCCAGAGACTCCAAAACCCCTTAATTCAGGAATATACCTCAAACTATACTAGGAACCCTAATCTGATTCAAGGTACATTCCTGAAGTAAGGGGGGTTTTTCTAGTCTCTGGGTGCCCCCAGGCCGTCTATGAGAGGGCCTTCATGCCCCACGGCTTCACCCCGCGGCAGTTCCTCAAGATCCTTCAGGCGGCCTCGGGGCGGATTGAAGAGGCCAGCTGTGGAGCTTACATCTGCCGCCAAGGACACGGAGTTTTTACGGAGTTTTGGGGGGTCTCCCCGAAATTTGGGGGGGGGCTTACCTTCTTGGGGTCCTTCTTTTTTAAGGGAGTCCTACTATTTCGGGGTTTGTATTTCGGGGTCCCTTTGATTCGTAAAGCCCCGTTGTGGAGAGCCGCTGTCGCTGTCTAAGCCCATGCTGAGCTGCTTCGGAGAGGAGAGGCGAAGAAGTGGATCCACTATCTCCTGGAGGGCGAGGCGATGCTGATTGACAAGTCCGAGGAGCACGTGCTCCTCAGCATTCCCCTTTGCTTGTCACATCTTTCCGAATTCCGAAACCCTAAACCCTAAACCCTAAACCCTAAAGCCAAAACCCTAAACCCTAAGCCCTAAGCCCTACACCCTAAACCCTAAACCCTAAACCCTAAACCCTAAACCCTAAACCCTAAACCCTAAACCCTCTACCCTAAACCCTAAACCCTAAACCCACCAGGACAAAGTGGTGAACATCTTGCCGGGCAAAGGCGGCTGGCTGGGCGAGTTCTTTGATCCTGCAGCTCCCGAGGACCACTGGGACGCGCCACGCGCGCATCAGGTCACCTGGTCTGTGATAGGGTTTAGGGTTTAGGGTTTAGGGTTTGGGGTTTGGGGTTTAGGGTTTAGGGTTGAAAGGTTGTTCTGTGAGCCTGTGCAAAACTAGTTGGAACGCGTCATGTTGGAGAATACATTACCAGCATGACCATAGCAACCGGACATCTTGCTGAACTAGAGATGTTCCCCGTATGCTAGCAGTTCTTGATGGGGATTCTAGTACCCCCTATTTAGGAATCCCTATGAAGGGCTGTTAGTATAAGGGGGAACATCCCAGAGCTGAACCGTTGGGGGCCACTGCGAGGTGTCCTTCAAGTGCATTGCCCATCGCTGTCGATTTCTCACGTTAGAAATCAGCCCGTTGCACAAAGCAATCCTGGCCAGCGATCTGGCTGAAGTGGCTTGGCTGATAGAGGCAAATCATACAAAGTCAGAGCGCAGCATGTGCTTCAGCAAGTGTTGTTCTGGAAAGTCCGAAGTCTGATGTGCTGAAACCAGGCAGCAACTCGCGCGGAAGTCTCTGATCTGTGGGGAAAACTGCACGGTTCTCATCACGAACATCGAAGGAACACCTACAGTGCAATGCTAGAACTGGCCGTCGCAGATGGCAAGGTGGACGCCAAAGAGGTGTGCTGATTGCTGAAATTTGACAACGTGTAATACACCTTCTCCCAAAGTGCAACCTCCAGAGCGCTGCATTGTCACAGGTTGAGCTCCTTGAAAAATGGAAGACCCGACATGGGATTCCGGAGGCACCGACGGAGTTGAAAAGCAATGCTGTGGTCCAGGGAGCTGAATTGGCTGATCACCTTGCGTGAGGCCCTAAACCTTGAACCCTAAACCCTAAACCCTAAACCCTAAACCCTAAACCCGAAACCCGAAACCCGAAACACAAAACCATTCAGAAGTAGGACGCGAGCCCTCAGCCATGCAGGATGATCATCAGGTGAAGTTGGCGGAGCTGGGTTGGACTACCGAGGACTTTTTTCCGGGTTTTTCGGGAGTAAAGATAGAATGAACCCAGCTGTGCAACCCAACACCCCAGCAAGAAAAGGATGACCAGAGACCAATGCTGAGGAAACACGCCTCCGTTCCGTTCCGTTCTGGCGTTCCGTTCCGTTCCGGCAAGGGTCCTGTTCCGGTGCCTCTCCCTTCTGGCTCCTCTTACCCGTTCCATTCCGGTTTGGGCCTTCGGCTGTTGGGAATTAGGCACTTCCAGTACATGTACTAGATGAAATAAATCAGCAAAAAGGACTGAAATACTTAAACTCATTGAGTTAATGCCATTGAGTTACATGATTGAAATTGCTGAACCTAGTTAAGCTAATTAGTTTAGCTAAATTCAGTGTGCTGGCCTTTTTTGTATTTGGCGGTGACAGTAGTCCACGGAGAGGATGTGAAGCAAAGCTGACGGGCATGTTGCTTTCCTTCAACCGTGACTTTTTCAAAGTTCCTCTTAGCTGTGTGTGCCTTTCATGCAGGAGTTTCTGGCAGGCCAACGTGATCCAAATCGGCGCCTGCGTCCACTGCCAAGATATCGCCCCTGCTGCTCTCCCACGACGCCTTCACCGCCTGCCCTTTCGCCAGAGAGCACAAAACACAGAGTGCTGTGCGGAGTCAGGGTTAGGGTTGGGGTTTAGGGTTTCGGTTTTCGGGTGTTTAGGGTTTAGGGTTTGGGGTTTAGGGTTTAGGGTTGAGTCAACACGGAAAGCTGGTGAACTCCACGAACCATGCATGCCAGAAAAGCGCATGCGAGCTCCATCTCGTGGGTCTGCTTGTGGGCACGTCTCGCCAACAGCTACTGTAGCTGACTGCCGCATGCCCGGCTCCTGCTCTGGAAATACTACTTCGGCTATCCAGTCCAACTTGTTAATTTTTGAAAAGCCTATACTTACTAAATTCTTTGGCCCGCGCGCTTTTGAACCGTGTGGCTGGGGGCACTGGCTATGCCAGCGACACGACGGAGGGCCCAGTTCCGCAAAAGTATTGCTGACCTTCGGGTTTCACAGTGGGCTGAAGAATGCGATTGCAGGGGAATCTGGAAGAAGTTCTGCTCAGGCAGAGCCACAAATATCGCGAAGAATGCCTCCATCTTCTCGGCCAACTGCTCCAACATGGCACAGTCGACTTCTTCCTTTTTCATCAAAACATTTAGTCCGCTAGCCGAGCTGCTCCACGTGGGCCGGACTGCCCGTCCCGGAGTAGATCTACCAGCAGATAAGTTTTGTTCCTGACATGCAACGCTGTCGCGGCCTCTGCCCCCAAGCTCGCCGCTCAAGAAAGTGTTTTCATCTCCTTGTGGTTCTGCGGAATGGACTCCACGTGGTTGTTCTCTTCGCCGCGGTCCGCGGTGCTCCCCTCGTGATTGTGATCTACTTTTGAAGCTTCTGGCAAGGGCACCTTCGCTGAAGGATGCACAAGCATGGCAATTTTCCAGCGAGCGGTGGGAGCAACTGGTTATTTGTTTTGGTAGTTTTTTGAGAAGTATTTTCGATCTAGCACCGGAGAGATGCTTCTGTGGTTTCGTGAAGCCATTTTTGCCCAAAGGACTTCTACGCATATCCAAGCTTGCAAAGACAAGACATGTGGGGCTTGTGTTACCGGCGTCTCTTGATACAACCAGCCATGCGGGTGGGTCCCTAAATCAGAACATGCGATCCAGAGACCCGGAGCCTTAAAGCCCCAAACCCTGAAGTCACCCTAAAGCCCCAAACCTTAAAACCCCAAACCTTAAAC